TTGTAACTCACAACTTCCCTCTCGTATATGAAAACACAAATGATATCACCATATTCAAAAAGAGCCACTAAGCTTTGACATTGGTGTTAGAGAAGCGATCCTCTTGTTACCACTCCACTAAACTCATCCGGTTAAAGCAAGTCTAATCTAATAAATGTATAGATAGTTAATAATAGTTGAACCTTTTTACACTATCTAGTAACTCTCATTATACTAATGTTTTTCTAAAGCATCATATGATCTCTATATACGTTAAGGTTTAACCATCATAAATCTTAAATGTGTATATTATTATATATATTATTATATAATCTATAATATAATATGTTCTTATATTTTTATCATAATAAAAGATAATTTTAAATCCTTAAATCCTAGACATTCGAAATAAAATAATAATTTACTTAAAGACTTATTTTGAAAAAGAAATTAGAGACTTGAATGCAAAAATGTAATACTTCAGGACTTTTTTAATAATAAAAAATATAACCCTAAACAACTAATCCAATTATGAAATTGTTGTTTTAGGGTTTATAGGACATTTCCTATAGGAAGTGTCTTGCAAAGATTAGTCTACCTTAACAAAAGACTTTTTTTCCACATAAAGTGCTTTTGTCATGTACATAATAAGCACTTCCTATAGAATTTTGTTTTTGATTAAATGAATGTTATATTGAGAATTAATTGCGAATAGATGTTATTTTAATAAATATTTTTTATTTGAGGCATGATTGAGTAAAATAGTTTAATTAGAGACTTGATTAGTACAAGATGTTTGAGTTTTAATTAATCAATATGTATAAATACTGATTAAAAGTAATAATTAATCATTTAGTTTTCCTAATATTTAAAACATTGATTTTAATAAATTTTAAAATCTAATATTTGGTTAATCACCTTTTCCTTTCGTAATATAAGAGTATGCAATTTGTTAATTATTTGAATTAGCTTAATGTAATAATAAGTGTTTAAATTATACATTTTTCTAACTTTAGATTTAATTTTTTTTCTTAAAGTAAGTGTTGAACATTTTCGATATTATAATTTTAAGTGTCTATGCTGTAACATTCCTTAAATCATGTTTATATATTTTTTAAAAAATTTGTTTAAAAAAATAAAAAAATATCTTAGAAAATCTCTCACTCGTCTTCTCCCCGCGCAAACACCCTTCATCCCCCGTCCGCCCCCACCCCCACCCCCTTCATCCCCTCCCTCCCAGCCCCCAGCTTCCTTCGTCCCCCTCCCCTTTTAATCCCCAATTAAATCTTCCACCCATTAAATGTAAGGTTAGATATTTAGGATCCTTATCCACTAAATTTAGAATTTGAGATACGATAAAAATGATGGTCTATCATTAGGTGGACGGTGATCGGAAAGGCGATAACGATGGAAAATGAGGTTTTAAATTAAGGATTTTGAGTTTTTTTTATAATTTTAAAGAAATTTAGGGTTTTTTTTTAAATAATATATTATTTTTTAAAAAATAAATTTTTTAAAAATATATGGTAGTGACATATGTCAGATAACGAGTTTTTAACGGTCGTTACGACGTGAGCACTTAAAAGCGTAAGGTTGAAAATATTAAGCGTCTACTTTGAGCAAAAAACTTTGTAGACACCGAAAGTTAATATAATCAAGTATTAGTAATGTGAAATTGTTTTGTTTTCATATTTTTATTTTTTAGACTTTTGATGTTCTTCTATGTTTCTTAGCAATGTGAGTTTTTTTTAAATTAAACCAAACGACATCGTTTGGTATGATTTTTTAGCCCTAAAATTATTTTTTTATTATAGTTATATAATTATATTTATTATTTAATATATTTTACCTTAAATATTATGTTGTAGTTGATTTGAATCATATTGTTTCACTTGATTTTATGGTTTTTAACTTATATATGTTATAATTTACCTTGAATATGGCTTGTGATATAAAAAATTATTTTTTATTAAATGATTTTTATATTTTTATTTAATTTTTTAAACAATTAATTAATTACGACGTCGTCCGATTCTTCCGACCGATTCGACTGATTGAACCAGTAAACCGATAGTACAATCGGCTCGCTGACCGATCCGATTCCGAAAACCATGGTCTTTTGAATTTGATAAATTTAATTAGATTTATAGGATTTAAGTTTTTTTTAACAAGAAAACGAATATTGGATTCAACCTCAACTAAAATGGGTAAACTCAAAATTTTGAGATTCAACTACTGATAGTGATTGACGATGATGGGAACGATGACCAACGACAGAAGATTTTAATATAATTATTAAACTGACGAGAGTTTTTAAGATTTCATTTGAAGAATGTTAAAAAAAAAAATCGAATCTAAGAGTTTAAATATAATTTTTCATATCAATACTTAATAAAAGACATATTGAAAATAAAAATTATCTTTGAGGAAAGTTTGCTCATATATATACATGGGTAGAGTATATAAATAGATCCATTACTATAGAAAATTATTTTGTTCAGTCTCTCAATTATTAAAAGTT